AGTCTAGGAGTTATCTTTCTTAAGAACCACACTTAGAACTCTTATATTTAGCTACTTTTTTAGACGTCTCAAATGAACTAAACGATCTTCAAATTTAAGTGACCGCTTTTCCAACTCAACAGTGACGTTACCATTTTCAGTACCAAATCTCAGATATTATGCTGAAAATCGTCCAATGCGATTATCTAGGATTATTACAATATGTGTGATTTATCTTTTATCGCATTCATCATGGCAAGCATTCTACTTAAACAAAGATGGAATGTGCAGARGCTAACGCAAATAAGATCAATGTTTTAGATTTCTTTAAAAGTTAAGATTTTATCAAATCGTTTTATCAAAGTTTGTATGCTTCTGATGCAATTGGAACTTAATGTAWTTTTTTTTAGTTTTTTTCTCTTTTTTTAATTATTTCTATCCGTGTAAAAAATAACATATTTTCAATCAATTCAATAGTGATAAATGAATACAACAAAACCTAGAGGTKGAATACAAATATTCTTGACAAATTAGCGATTCACCTTCTTGGAGGTAATAAAGAACTGAAACATTTTGGATTTCGTATTTTCCATTTTATTTTACAACAAACTTTCAGTACTTCAGATGCTTAGATTGTTCATAAATCTTGGTTGATGTGAGCATTRTCTAATGGAAGAACGCTTCCATCTAGACGATCGTAACGCCTGAAGCGAAATTAGGGTATTAAGGTGAATCCCAGTTTGGTAAATGTTTATTTAACAAATTAAAATGAAATGCTCACTCTATTTTTGCCTTTTTTTAACAAGAATGAAATAAATGTTGTGAAAACGTTCATACTTTTTAGCGATATTGTTTTAATACTATTTTAATTTTATATTCAACAATTTTCATGATATYATGCAGTATATTTAGCATTTTCCACATGTATTTTTTTATGTTAACTCTGATGTGCGCACTGAAGCTGCTATTGYTCRTAGTATTTTCCCRATTTCAGTTTTGATGCTGATAAATTTTAAAATATTTGTTTTTCCAATTTAAAATATTTTGAAAACAGATTCTATTGATTCAACCTATTTAGATTGAAAAAATACAAATATATAGAATTAGTATTTTCTATTTTGTAGGGCATTGTTTTTGAGGTTTAATGTTCAAAAAGAGACACGATATGAGGTAAATAAGTACTAAAAATGTTTCAAGAAAATTAAGATAGTTTATTTTTTAAAGAAGCTAAAGATTATACATGAATAATCTTTAACAAACATAATTTAATTTCAAAATATTTGAATGATTTGCCATCTGTTTTAGCTAGAAAAGAACGAAAATCATATAGCATTATACCTATGATACACCCGAAATACGGATGTACTCTTGCAAATGATACTAAAGCTTTAAGCCGGGCTTTAAGGAACCGGAAATTTATTTCAAGTTACTTACAGTAGTTTCATTCAGCACTTTTTGATAAACATTTACAACAGTCCACTCTTAAGAAAAAAAAAATATCCTAACAGGTTCTTAAAACCCAGATTCTTAAAGCTGGACTCTTATCGTATAGAAACTCGATGAACATTGTCAACAGGTTATTCAATCACACCGGGGAGTGCCTCTAAATACGAGTTATTTTCAAGGAGTTGATATAATCTAAAGGAGGAGATATAAAAAAAGGTACGAGATAACTCCTTTTCTGGAGTAGATTTAACTTTACCAATTTTAGCAGCACCAGGAGGAGTAATTTTGACTCCTTTTCTGAGAGCAATTTTGGCAATTTTGGAGTAAATTTGACTCTCTTTTCGAGTTGATATAAACCTCTGTAGTCAAAACTACTCGTATTGTAGAGTAGATTTAACTCTCTATAAAGTTACCACACCAAGTAGAGTAACTTTAACTCCCATTTTGCAGAGTGATTTCAACTCCTTGAAAACAACAGCGTAATTGATATATTATTCAAGATAAAATATAGTTTGGCAAAACCTGATTTGTTTTTAATGTATACAGAGGACTTCCTGTTCTCTAGCAACATCATCAGTTCTACCCAAACATGATAATCTTACAGAAACACCGAAACTGTAACTCAAACATCGCTTTATTGATTTACTTTCAGAGAAATTATTTCTATTTGAACGGCTAAAATAACTTGATGTGTGCCAAAGAAGACACAGTTGTTTTAGACTTAAAAAGAGACTTAGGATTTTATGATTAGATTAAAAAGAGTTCAGTCTAGAGCCAACTTGTTTTAACAAAATGTAAAGATTTCCTGTGCAATATACCGTACGATTTCTTTGCGGATTACTTTTCAATTTGCTGTAAAATTACTTAAAATAGAATTCAACGTTAGATGTTTTTACTGAACTCAAAATTGACAAATTGAACAATATTATGTAAAATATTGTTAGAATAATTTTCATTCGTCTGTGAAACAATTACTACTAGTCAGTGTTTAATAGCGTCTAATAGTTGTATAAAGAAAGCAATAGGTGTAGAGTCTACTAGCGTCTATTAGTGTAGGAACTATTTCACAGTCCCATGAAAATCACTCTATTTGGTAGTTGTTTTATCTGTGAATTCCTTTGATCTTGGTGTGAAACTATTTGATCAAGGAGCTCCTCTTTGAGCAATAGAAAACAATCCAGTCACTGCCACGTTGGATGAATGAGCTGCAAATGAACTACGTAATATATTCTCGATTTCCGTCTTTTTTTATCAATAACACTAAAAGCTATTAGACTTGGGACCCATTGTACAAATTGTGAATTCAATTCTCGGTGTTCAACTACATGACCAAGAAATCTTTGAGCAATAAAAAACAATTCAAACGCCGCCATATTGGTTGAACGAACAAGAGAAGCTAATATTTGCTATCTCCATCCAACATGGCGGCGATGACGTCACGGTGCACATCGACAATAGCAGTGTCCAACGATAAATTGTTATCCCACAAATAAAACGGCATAAAGAAATATTATATTGTGAACATAATATATACAATATTTTTTTCTTACTATAAATATTTGATTGAAGTCTTTTTCTTGCTTTCTGCTTTAAAACTACTTTTAACTATAACTTCACAATATATGTAAACATACTTGAGTTTAGGATTCACTTTTTAAGCTTTTTGTTCTCTTTTTTTTTATTTGTAATCGTCCAATGTCATAGGACTCAAAAGCAAAATATTTCTCATCATAATCTCTCTGTTTTTTAAAGCTTTTTGYAAAACGATAAAGTTTTATATTCTAACGGCTTTGTACAATATCTTTAATCCCAGCAAAATGTAATTTTTCCATTGAGTATTTAATGTTTATTCTTTAACGGTTTTAAACAGCAAAAATCGATWCAGAAATGCAAAAAGAAAGAAAGGAATTATTCTGATTTAGATAATGGAAGATCAGCTCTCCTGCAACGATGCCGGAAAAGCATAATTATTTAAAGCTTCTCACTTCTATTGAAAAACTAAACATCGCTATATATTAACTAAGTATTCTTTTTCATTAAATTCTTATCGAGAGAACTGTTTTATAATTGAGAGCAATCAGTTGAAAAAACCAAGCCAAATCGAATTTTAAAATAGCTTATATTTTAAGTAATCAACATGCGTTGATGTCTGAAAGGTCCCCGACACCCCCGGGCTTTTGAGCGCCTATACGATCTTTGTAAAGTTTTGCCTTTGTCTCAGGCAATTGATGAATAAATGCTTTTACAAACATGAACAAAATATCTTCAAATTTGAAAAAAATCAGTTTCTCTGAAGAACGTAAGTGGGTTTTAGCACGAAAAACTTTCTGAATTCGTACACTGCATTCTGAAACTAGACACGCAACCAAAACGTTGTGGCATTTGTGTATGTTTGAGCTCATTTACCGTCCCTAGAAATAAATATTGTGCTATGAAACGAAAGATAATTGCTAACCGTTTCTATTGAATATGATTCTAAAACGAGCCGTGTGAACAATCTAATTTTAATCGTTCCCGTGGGAGTGACAGCTCGGAAAGCCTGTCCAAGCGGCCACAATCTTCTGAGAAAAAAAACAACATTGCTTGCTAAGTAAACAGCTCTACTGAGCTCGAAGGGGTTTACTGAGGCAAACAGTGTAATTCCAGCCATACTATATCCTATTATCTAAACGTTTTATTGTATTCTGTTCGAGGAAACTGTGCCATGAGAGTATAAACCACTACTATATGCTTTTATTCTTTGAAAGTACTATAAAACAAATGATCTATACACTCAAACTGGTACCTATAGTAGGACGTTTCATTGCTTTTGGCCATTAATTCCTCATTATTGTAAAAATGTAGGGAAAAAAGGTTTATAACGGATAAGACGAAAGTTTCTTCGAGTTAGTGAAGAGCGTGCACCCAGCTGTAGTGAAGTTGAGAACTAGTTTTATTTTGTTGTAGGTACTGAGAAAAATATATATTCGTATATATATAAAGCGAATAAAACAAACCCTTTTCGAAAGGCGTACATGGCTTTAGCTGCTTTCATATGGAGAACTTTAACTTTTACTCATGCAACGGGTTCGGAAACGCTGTGTCAAATTTTGAATACGCGCAAAGCATAATGGCAAAGCGAATTTCTTTTAAGACAAATAAGACAAAGACACAATGTATTTTATAAACATGATTCTAGATGAACAGTTTTAAGCCGACCATACCATTTCCCTGAACTATTATCTTAGTGTAACATTACTATCTCTCTTAAAGAAAGTTTGAAGCGCGCACGTTTTGTAAGTTAAGCCAAAGTGATTTTACAAATGTACAATATACACAGATCAGTACATATAGAGTATTACAATGGATGAGAGATTCTAAAACAATACTTATTCCATAGCTTAATCTAACTCTTTAACTTAAGATAGTTGCTGTTCAGTGAAAAGGAACCGTGTCGTTGTAATACTTAGCTAACCTGCGCGCAAAGGCTTAAAGTATCTGACAGACTGATGCCAAACACTTTACTACTTTACGAAAATGTACAAAGAAGAAATTAGGTACATATATTTTACAGAAAATTGGATGTGAGACAGTAATTACACAGTTCCATAGCTTATATCTTTAATTTATTGTAGCCTATGTTATTAACAAAAGATTTTGTCCCGATGAATATACCCATTCAACCACCGGACATTTAACGTTCTGGTGCTAACCAAAATTTACATATACAAAGATCATTGTCTAAATCTATTTAAAATAACTATAAAACTTCGAAGATAATAAGATCAACTTTGCTTTGGAGCTAAAAAAGAGCGTAATTACATTGCTTGGTTAAAGAACACGCTGATAATTGAAGGAAAAAAGCTTAAATTAGACCTGCATCTCGATAGCCAGAAGAAATGGTAGTTGATTTTAATTTTCTAGTACAATAAGTGTACGAAAACCTTTTTTTAAGAAGTTCTTTATAATGATGTCTTTAGCGAACAAGAAGTACAACAAAAATTCATCTGAGCAGTTGACTGGAGTTTCTAAACCACTATAAAACTTATTTTGAACTATAATCTAAAAGAGCATAGCACGTGGTGGGACAAACTCCAACCACGACCATTTTGAACCCCACAATTGCATTCAACTGCTCAACTTTTGATCTTTGTCGTAAGTTGATCAATAATCGTTAAGCTTAAGCCGGTTTCTTTCGTGCCTTTCTCAAAACAAGATTAGATAAGTTCAATGCGGGTTTGAAGTGTAAACAGTGAAGTTTCCGCCAAAGCTGTTCTCTAAAAGACCGCAGCAAAGTTTACAAAACTTTATGCCCCTTTATGCTTTCAAAAAATTGAGCTCTATAAAATTAAAGATTCTGATAGTACAATTCTATTTGGTTTTACTATTATCAAAGATTTTTAAAACTTGAAAAGCTCTGTATTTTAGAAGTCGCAATTTTTCGGCATCAAAAGCGTTTGTTATTTACACAAAAGTTTCTTTTCGTGTTCACAGAGGAAGTTAATTTAACCCACAATGATGCGATCAGCGATTTCTCTATTACTATATCATGGCGACTGGTATAATTACAATTGCAAGCACGATTAACTCCAAGTTTGTAAACTAAAAGTTGTATTATTTAGTTAATAACTTCGTGTCTGTCAACCAAAGACTATAAGCTATCGATAAACTGACTTAAGCTTCTAAAAACGAAGTTATTTCGTAGACTATCTAAAGCAAAACCTCTTAGTTATAGCTCTCTCCAAGAACTTCCCAAAACTTTCCCTTGTAAATCAAACTTATAGTTCATGTCCAAGATTAGATCCTTATTTGTAATACCAGTTAAAACAGTACATGACAAAACAAAGTGCCTTGTTATAACGTTAAGGCAAACTTATAACCTTATAATAATTATCTACACTGTTAATGTATTTACGAATGGTATTCAGGTCGAGAATGCCACGGGTATAAACAGCCATAATAAGGAACTGTCCCTATTCTTGTCGAAGACCCTGGATACCAATGCGATGACCATTCAAGTCCTGGTCTTAGATGCATATACGCAGACGAATCACATGTTGTTCGATATGCGACGAAGGTTTCTGAAGGTGGACGAAAACCAGGGCAAATGACGTTACTTTTGCTCGAGGTTTCCTGGCTTGACTTGTTCGGAGAAGAAGCTGGAGGCGAGCTTGACTTCGGTGAACTTGTTTCAAGGTTGACTTCATTGGTATGGTGAGATGTTTTTGGTGATAAGCTTGCTGAGATCCTTGTTTCTGGGACGGTGCTATACGGGTATCCTCCAGCTTCGTAGTACGGTGCACCGGGTGTGAAGAAATTGAAATGAAATGGAGCCCCTTGAAACATCTTGCCTCTTTTGTTTGATTTGTCGCGCTTTCTTGGTTGGTACTTGTAGTTTGGGTACCGTTCTTTGTGCTCTTCTTTCAAACGTTTTGCTTCCTCGAAGTAAAATGACTTTTCTTGTTCAGATAACTTCTGCCATTCCAGTCCTAGCTTTCTGCTAATGTCAAAGTTATGCATCTGCGGATTCTCGTTGGCAATAACTCTTCTGCGTTTCTTTGACCAAATAATAAACGCATTTAATGGCCGCTTGATCTTTTCTGTAGTCGCTTTTAATTCACTGATTTGCGAGCTTTGAATTTCGGAGCTCATTTTGGAGTTGTCGCCTGTAATGTTGTGGTTCTTGTACGTGGTTGAATTGACTGTGAACACGAGTTTGTATCACCGATGCGCACTGGGAAGTGTGTCAAATAGACTAATACCGCTTGTACTCGGTGGTGTCTTTTGATCGTATGAGCTAACAAGACAAGTAACCCTCACACGTGCTTGGTCTAGAGTTTAAAGCTATGACTATAAGTAAAATAGTCTCTCTAAGCCCTCCCACAAAACGTAATTAAAACTCTTTGAACAAACTATGTGTTTTTGCAGTTTTTATTGGCAATTCTTGCTTTGTTTTCGAGACAAGTTAATATCACCAGAGAGTGATAAGGGCTGTACTGTCACTGTATAAACAAACAAATAGAGATGGCGGTCAATGATTGATATTTTTATAGTTTTCTTCTCATCTTTTGAACTCATTGTTTGATTTTGTTTACATATCTGTGGATAGAAAGACGAATAGTACGCCACTATCCGACCAGTGATGTCTAAACTAGCATGGTCATCAAACAAGAGGGCAACCAACTTTTCCTAAAGCAGAAAATTCCAAAATATAGAAAAGATTTCGACCCCTGCGACTGACCCGCTCGCATAACTAATTCTGTTTTATTGAATGTTTTGACCTTTTCTTTGCACAATCAATACTGGGTTTCTTTACTTTTTATTTCCTTTTCCGCCGTATTGGTATAAAACTGTTTTCTCATATTCCACCGAAATGTCTCTCTGCTCGTCCCGCATGATGACAGGCAACACAGCTTCTTCTGTATCCGAGACCATAGAGTGTTTGCCTAAACGTCAAAAAACTTGACAGAACTTTAAGAAGCAAAGATCGATGAAGACTAAATTTGCCTTGTGGTCGTGGGAAGAGTTTACAGATTACTACGTTGATTGTTTGATGAGCTGTCAATGGTTCTTTCTTTGGAAGAAGCCGCTAAAGTATCACCGAAGGCTTGAAGACAATTCAAATGCTTGTCAAAGGGCTTTATTTTTCTGCAAAAAAGCCGACAGCATGGACTTGTTAAATCATAAAGTACATCAAACACTGTAATTTCATGGAGCATTCATCCAATAATCTGCACTGGTCTGAAAACATCATCGGGCAAACAGATTCCACGTTGCCTACAAAATTTCATTAAATTGACGTCGCATTTCTGAGGAACTAAGGAAAGCCCTCTTCAAGTATGCCACTAACTCATGAATATATTGATTTTTATAAATTTGTTATCTTTCATGGCTTGTTTTATTGTTATAATGAACGTTTAGAGCGTTTAAAGTTGTCCATTGTGTTGCGAGGGCTTATATGAAGTAAAAACAATGGAGTTTGAGCATTAAATTCCTAAACCATGGGCACGAGGTTTGAATGCAAAATCCTTGACGTTGAGCAAAGTTCATCACAATTGTAAACTTTACATGATACCTGTTTGTTGAATACTAGAGCTTTCTTTAATTGAAAGCAAAGAGTCATAAAAACAAGAGTTATGGCTTTTTTTAGGCCCGAAAAACAAACTTGGGTCTGGCGGGCCTGTTTCATGCTATTGTTAGGAACACAGCAAGTGTAGTTTGTTAGGACAAACAGATTTTTATTCGTACACATCTTCGAATTAATGTTTCTAACCGTAAAATGATAAACACTGTGCCACCAAAAGCGATGATAATGTACTTCTTAAAGACTCAATAAAGAAAGTCTATTAATTGAAGGCAATTGCTGGATAATTTACTATTCAAGTACCAAAGAACAGATTGATTTCTTCTTCGAAAAATTGGTACGGAATTTCTCAAAAATGATCAAAAACTTTACGATTTTAAAGTGTATACTTTTATCGTTCTGATCTAATCGAGTGTTTTAGCCATTCTCAAGCCGTTCGCGTGATGTAAAACTAGTTGGTTGTGTATTCTTATTGGATCTCAATTATCTGGTGGATTTTAATAATCACACCAATACGACTCCTTTCGATGCCGACCGTGATAAGGAAATTGTTTTTGGTTTGTTATCTCAGAGTCGTTATTAATTTCCACCAAGGGATTAACTAAGGCTTTATAGTATGCAAGGGGAAGTGATTGTATGTTTTTGCAAAGGTTAGAGGATTTTGTATTTTGTCCATTTGTTAGCTTGGACAGTATATTTCCTATTTTGACTACTGGTACTGAGCATTCTAAGTGATCAGTCTAAAGAAGTCGTAGTAAAACTGGCTTTGATTATGAAAGCGCCACTCTGTATATTCAGTTTTCTCTTAAAGCTAGCAACCACTTATAAATTTGGTATATCTAGTGAAAATTTAGCCCTAAGGGCCGTTTACTGCGATTTTTCAGCGCGATAATCACCACTTTGCTATCGCGCAACTAAAATCGTACGTGTAAACAGCCCTGCGATTGTTGCGGCGATGGAAAATCGACGATATCCGCGAGAATTGCGCTGTAAAAATCGCAATTGTAAACGCGGCTTTTAAACTGGCTCTAAAACGGTTGTTAGTAAATTCAAACCAATAGAAACCATGAAAAAAATTGTAAAGTTATAACATTTTATAATAGTGTGTTGTTCCAAGTTTATCTTATTTTGTAATAGCTGAATTTTGTTTGCGGAATTAAAAAAAAAAAAAAAAAAGAAAAAAAGAAACCACGAACAATTTTGCCTTACATAGTTTCCTTTAGTCGGTATTAACTTTTTATATTCATTCTCATCTGTGATTTATTTATTTTAGAATCACGTATTATTAAGTTTTGGTTAGATAATTCTTCTTAAAAACTAACTAATGATATAAATAAGGCTACTTTCTTCAATCTTTATAAATTTGTTATTGAAAATATATATTTAAAGCTACTAAAAATAATCTTAACATCGTGAGAATGTCAGAAGAAACTGAAGAAGTTATCACATGGGTTAAGATATTTGGTAAATCTCTGTTACTTTGATAACTCAGTCTTATTGTGATATACGAATAGCTATCAATAAAGGTTTCATATCAATATCTTCCCTGTGCAGATATGTTCATTAAAATGTAGTTTTTTTAATAACTATAATGTAACGCGCACATTGATTGGTTATGAATATGCAATAAAAGAGAGTATTTTTACTAGAGCTTAGAAAGCACGGCTTTCAATCAAAGAGTTGTTGCTATTTTATTAAAGCACTAGAAGATAATTTCAATGATTCTTCGCTAGCAACAGGCGCGTGGGAGAACACGAGAAACGATTTTCTGCTTGCGATTAAATTTTTTTTTCATGTTTCTATACAACGGAAAATGAAAGCAAAGAAAATATCTTCTTATGCTAAGCATAACTATATATTACGATGTGATTTATTCAAGGAGATCATCCTGGTCATCAAGTCTGTATTTCAGTTTTTAGATCACAGAACACAAGAGATAACGACTACACGTTACGTTTGTCGCGTGTACTTTGTAGTATACGATCACTCCTATGAGCTCCAAATTGTTCCGTCAAGTGTAGATTCCCCTAAGATTTTCAACAGTCCGTAAACTTCGACTTGTAGTAGGACACGGCTCAAAATCCTGCAACTTGTCGTATGAAAATAGCATACTGCTAACACGCGACAATCGTATCTCACATAAATCCGCCTTAATGTTCAGCTATGAAATGTGCTGAAGTTGAAAGTTTGTCATTTAGCTCTGACTATTGGGTCAATCCTTATTCTTATTTTGGACTGAAAGGATTTCTTTTCAGCCTCCATGTCCATAATTCAAATGAATGCATGATCTCTTAATATGTTCAGTGCTGTGCTGTGCTGTGCTGTGCTGTTTTTGTTATTCTTTCTCATCATTTACCTCATTTCTTACCATGAAAATATATCTCATGTTCATTTTGAATTGGTCAAAGGCACCAATCAATTCTTCATATATTGACGTCATCGTACAACATATCATAGTGCAAGCCACGGCTTAAATGAAGTTCCTTCCCAGAAACTTTCTATATGATATATTCTTTTTAATGATAAAATAATTGTAGACGTGGCTGTCGCTTGATATGAAGTATCATACAGACCTCTGTTGAAATAGTACCTATATCATCTCAGAATATCTTTAATAAAATTAATATTTTGTTAAAAGCGTCTCAAGCCACTGAAAAACCAAGTGAAAAAGCCTACAAAGGCGAAAACTCTGGATAAAGGGTCATCATTAAAAAACATTATGGCTTTGAGAAGTCTAGTCTTACGCTCATATACATCCTTTCATGGACAACATTTTATTTGTTCCATAAATGTATAAATAACCACTGGGAAGAACAGCCTAAAATCATTACTGAGGGAAATCAGTAGAAAATTTGACAAAAATTTCCTCAAATTCACATAATTTTACAAAGAAATGTATGATGAGGTTAGAAAGGTGACAAATCAGTCTTGATACCACACGATGCTTGGTAAATTTTGCAGGGTGTCTTTGAGGGCTTTATTGTATCTTCTTGAATGTTAAGGATTTTTGCCAAACTTGCATTCAAATTTATAAGTATTTTAGTTTGTTCTTTTTAGTGTTGGTAATGGTTTCTCACTTGTGCTTGGTTTCAAAATGCTTAAATTAGCATGACATGGTTAATTTGGAACTGAATATTATCAAAAACAGTGCGCGGTTTTGCTATTTTTCATTCTTTTTCCTCTTTTCTATCCATTTTCTATCCATTTTCTGGGCCATTTTTACAGAAAACTCAGCATAAACTTAATATATATTAATAGATATCTCTTTATATTTATTGCCCAAAATGAAATACTAAAAAAAACAGAACTAGTTAACATTAATCAAGAATGAAATCACAGTCAATTATAGTCCTCAGTGGCGCTCTGTATGCCTGCGATAGTTGTTATGTATTCTTTACTCAAAAGGAAATGTCACCGTAGCTTCGATGAAAGAAATTTCTCAAGAAGTTAGATACTGTTTGGAAAAATCCAATCTGAGTAATAAAACGAATATAGAATTTGTCAGCATTATCATTGGATGTCAATATACAATAGGATATATTGTAAGGTTTGTCAAAACCAACCATGTCGCCCTGTGAATGGCTTCCCAAATACTACTTTAATTATATACAAATCCAGTTTATCCAGCATTCACCGTTATTTGAAATAGCTGCCACCTTGTTTGATACTTATCTATTCGCGATGGTTCACCATTTTAGGCATCTTAGTTTATTGATCGAGTTTTTAGGGCATTTCTTATTCCTTATTTCAAATACAAGACACTTAAACATAGTCTTCTCACCTGTATTTGTACACAGAGATTCACAGTTATTATCAAGATATTAGTGTGTGGTCTATTGAAGACCTCAAACGATTCGAATTAAATAAAAATATACCGACATTGAAGTTGAAGTTATTCGAGTTAAAGGATTGTTTAAACAGTACTTAATGAGATAAGCAAGCTGGTACGAAGTCAAGGGATGAAAAACAGTCTAGGAGGCCTGAGGCAGGAAGGAAGAGACCTCAAACTCCAGCTAAAACTGAATAAGCTGTTTAAAAAGTTCTTCAGATCGTGACATTTGTGTCATTTCGACTTATGAACTTCAAAACGTTTCGAAATGAACTGCTGTAGATGCTTAATTAGTAAAAGAAACAAAATATTTAATATTTCCAGAAGGCATTTTGATATTTTACCGACCAAATTTTTTTACCAAATTTTGGACCTTACTAAAAGAGACAGAAATGAACTTGTTTTCTATCACCAAAACAGTAATTCAAAATTGAATTCTGGCTGAGGTCATTTTTATAACTATAACAAATAACTGCGTCCTTAATATTCAGTTTGTTTACTTTATAGTCTGGGAGGCCCGGAACTCGCATTGGTTGGTAAAAAATAGTGCCAGTACCTCTTTGTCTCCAGGCGGACAGTTTTATTAGATTCTATTATATCATTACCAAACACCTTAATTTTCCAATAAAGGGTTTTGTATTTCCAAAGGCCTCGAATAAAAGCTCATATTGTGCAATATTTTCTACATAGTAGGTCAATATTTGCTTTTTGGTTATTAATTCGTTTGATTGACAGCTTAAGACTATAAGTTAATTAAGAATGCAAAAGGTAAATTACAAAATAAACTAAAGTTTGTTTAACGTATAGTGGACTTTGTAAAACAAGGTGTATAGCTCTGTTTCGTGTATTGCCTTATGATGAAGTGAACTGTTAACAAAATGATCCAGACACGAAAGACAGTCCTATGTGAGTTATATCCAAATATACACATTATCTTTCCGCATTCTCCTTCATTGTAACCTTACCCTTAATCTTTCCTTGTTCTATGAAAGCATGCATTTTCTTATGATTAATGATAGTATAGATGCTAAATTTTGTGGCTTACATATTTTTGTGCTCTTTTACTAACTAAAAAAGATCTTGATGGAATTTAACTGAGATTTGTGTAATGGTTAAGGACATGGTGATATTTGGAAGGCCACCTGGGAGATTTGGCTTAATCTTATAAAACATTTATAAGTTTCCCAATGAAAAGAAGCTAAAGAAAGAATTATAACAAATAAAAAACAAATAATAATTAAAGCAATGATAAATAAAAGCAAATACATCTATAATGGAAAGTCCCATGAGAAAAATCACTATTTTCATGAAGTTATTATAAGAGCACAATGTTCTCATATCCCATATGCGTAAGTAGGTAGAAAAGGCAGCCCCACAGCACCGTACTTTGCCGTATGGTAACCACTTCGCTATTTTATGTCCGAAATAAGGTTGGACAACGTATTGCATTGAAAACAACATATCAAGAGCATGAATTGAAATGATTTCTATATATATTAAAGTATAGTCCTTTGCTAGTGGAGTCCAATATGGTCAGTGTATTACTATGTTTATGATTAAAGAAAGAATAAAGTAGTCCCGATGGATGTGCATTTTTTTATTTTATCCATCTCTATTTCTAGATATACAAAACGAAGTTTTGTGGCATAAACACTGGTCAACTATCAAGGCTCATTAAGTCTATTCTCTGATATACCTTGATTCTCTTTGAAATGATGACATTATAAACACAATCCATCGTTAATCAAAGATATATAAGAAAGGTCACAAGCTATTTATTATCTACTAGGACAAGGACAATTTTTCCGGACACCAAACTATCTAAGATCTCGGACTTTCATTTCGATCTTTGACTACATCTACTAGCTGGAGGTCGTCGTCAATTGTGTTTGCTTAAATCACAGAACGCTGTCCCTAATGAATTCGATCAGGTATAAAAGATCAAATGTCATCGATTGATCTTCTTGATCTATATCACTTCCACTTGTATAGCCCGTAGATGATCACCGTCTTATAGCCATGGACCACTTGCTCTTTCTTTTACCCATTCACTTCGTCTTTTCCCATCTTTCTTCTTCCATTCTAGATCGCTAGATCACCCCATCAATATCCTGCTGAATCGCTCCATAACTTTGTTCGTATTTTTCTTTTTTAACATCCTTTTCTTGTAGATCTTTATCTTGTATTAGTTCTGTTTCAGTCGGATTCTTCGTCATCATCATCATCCTCTTCTAGATCTCCGTCTTCTTCTCCGTCTTCTTCTTCGTCGTCTTCTTCTTCTTATTTGTTGTTGTTGTTGCTGTTGTTGTTGTTGTTGTTGTTCTTCTTCTTCTTCTTCTTCTTCTTCTTCTTCTTCTTCTTCTTCTTCTTCTTCTTCTTCTTCTTCTTCTTTTTCTTCTTCTCCGTCTTCTTCTTCTTCTTTTTTTATCTTCTCTTTTTTCTTCTTCATTCTCTACAGTGTTCTCAATCTCTTGTTCTTCTCAAAGTTCGTTTTCTATTTCTTCTCTTTAACTCTCCTTTGCTTTCTTGGCTTCATTCTTCTGCCTGTTTTCGGGTGCCCTGTTTATTAAATGAATTAAAACACAATTGGTCTTAGGCTATTATCGGAAATACCAAGTGTCATCCTTTCAAATATGATCAGCATCGAACCATACGATATGATAAAACCGCTGGGTTATTGAGACTTCACCTTATCCCATATAATCCCACACTGTCTGCAAATTAAGTCTACATTAGCAGGCTATTTACTTGGTTCTGTAAGACAGTGGCACTCGGTAATCTGTTAATTTAGGTATCTTAAAACCCTGGCTTAATTTGTCTCCTGCACGAGAGATGTCCTAAATTCCATTATTGTGAAATGGCTTTACGAAAGTTTAAAATAGGTCTTTCGCACAAGGAGTACTCTCAGGTATTGTTTAATCAATTAAACAATTTGTTTCTGTTTATAGTATAAAATTCAAAAGTGTAGTAAAATTATGTAATGTAAATTGATAAAGCTCCAACAAAGAGATGCTTTAGGAAGAAAGCGACGTAAACTTTGATCACCTTATTAGGTTTTAGTATACTTGTCAACATGGCGATTAAAAAGCTCCAATACTACAAAACTTGCAGAAAGATACACATCGATTTTCTCATCCAGCAATACTCCAATTTCGAGTTCTGGTTTGCTCTGCGTTAGCCTCAAAACCAAGTAACATATTCTTTTGTTTAATTGATAGCTCGAGAAAACGCATGGAATTTGTGAAGAAAGACAATAAATTTGATTTGAAATCTCACACTTTTACGCTCACAACTAAGGAATATTTTGCGCACAAATGAGGCTAACACAGAGCATTGGAGAATTCGAAACTGGAGTATTACAGTAATCATTCCCATGAAAAGCTAGTTTAATCTTGCGAGTCATTGTCCCTGTTTTGAATTATACTTCAGAAGATACAGAGGTCCAATTTACTTTCGCATACGACATACTTTTGGCACCTTATTTCATACCACCATCAAGTTAGTTCCAAATTGACTGAGACTGCAGCAAGCTGTTTCTGCACAAAAATCCAAACTTTTGCTACCAGAAAGTTTCTTAGTATTTTTATGCAATTCAACTTATTCAAGCTTACTTATGACAGCGCTATTAGTATTAAGATATTTATAGGAAGGTGTACATGTCATTCATTCATTGGTAGATCTAGGATTTTTCAAAGCGGGGTCCAGATTTTCCACTTCATTGCTTTTAATATATGAGTGCTTTTAATATAAGGGAGCAGCTGACCCAGTTTTCTACCCCTTGATCCGCCACTGTTAGTTTTACTCTGCTTGTGGTGTACATCTCCAGCTATCTTTTGAAGAGACAATCTTAATCAAAAACATTCAACTTCTTGTGAGTTAGGGGCGGACCATGTAACTTGGCGGGGGGGGGGGGAGTTTCTTGTGTGAGCAAGATTTGTTTTTTCTTCGTGGCTTTTGGGTAGGATATTTTTTTTTCTCTTGGTGGTGTGAAGAAATTTTTTTTCTTGTATGTAACATTTTTTTGGGGCTTAGTGTGGTGCAATATATTTTTTCAGGTCCATATGTTGTGCACGATTTTTTTTTGGTGAAGATGGCTTGCAGGATTTTTTTTTCAAAAAAAGTTTAATGGTTCATCCCTTAGTAATGTTCATGGCATATAATAAGGTTTGAGCTGCCATAATGATGGAAGGAAGCTGGATTGTCGCTTTAAACTCTCCAGTGTGGTGGTGATTAGCTTGTTATCTCAATCTAAATATATAATTACACAAGCGACGTGTCTTAATCCCCAAGATCTGTTGTCGATTTTAGCGCATTTGGAGATGCCACTTCGCATTATATGATCTTTATTTACTGAAATCGGAAATCCGCATCTTCTTGTACATATTGAACCAAGCTGACTCGAGCTGACAATTTGCTTAAGGACACACCTGATCTGTGTAAGGCGTGTGAAGGCACATGGGTCAGGTGATGACTTTGGCACCTTAAAGTAAAGAGGCCTTAATCTCTATAGTTGTATAAAAGCGTTTTCAGTCTCTTTCAATTGCTCTGGAGTCCGGGTCTGGAGCTCAATATTATAGAGTCCATCATGAGAAATGTCATCCACTTTTCTCCCGTTTCTCACTAAAAAGTATTCAAGAAGCAAGACAAACACTCGCTACGCTCGTGATTCTGAGCTTCCTTCTCTCATATTTTCAACTCCCACCGTGTTTATAACAGAGGACAGGGACACGCGCGCCGTTTTATATTTCTTAAATATAGGAAAGCTGCTATTACAAGACTTTGATTAGTCATTAAACTTCAAAATATATTTGGACAGCCCTAAGTAATTTCAAAGAATTGGATTTGTTTGTAATTTCATATCTAGCGAGAATAAGGGGAAGATAAATTTCCCATAACTACCCCCACGCTCATCAACATATAATTCAATGTATATCGTTAACCATCATACCTATCGGTATTATTGCACAAAGAGAGCATTAGTTAATTAAGTTAATTGAGACTAATACAGAAATTATATGTTACAGTGAAAACATGAAAAATTTTAGCAATTTTTAATTTAATTTTTAATTTTGCGTTTTATTTTGTACTGAATTGTGCGATTTCCTTTTTCTCTAGTGCGCTATTTAGCGCTATCGTATTCTTACATTAAGGGCCACCCATTCGCTTTCTAGAATGTTCACCCTACAAGCTTGCGGTTTTAACTGATACGTTTTCGTAATGATTATAAGGAATACCTATTGTGTTCATCCGTTGATGCTACATGATAAAATACATGGATGTGTCCAGAATGGGGTGATCTATGACTTAAGAAATTCAAATCTCTTTGATGTATTTTATCCTAGTAAAGAAATCACCCCTCCCCCCTTAAAAAAATAACCAAAAATCAAACGTTCAGTACTTTGTTCAGTGGGAAGAATCGAAAGCCTGTTACATCAAGAAATTAATACATTAACAGTAACAGTAGTATATAGAAAGTCTATAGAAAGTGGCGCAGGAAAAACACTCATTTTTCTGAGGAAGGCCAAGCTTTTATTAAACGATAGCAGATATAAGCCAACAAGATGGTGTTCTGTCGCATATTATTCTACTTATACACAATACTCCAATTTCGAGTTCTGGTTTGCTCTGTGTTAGCCTCAAAACCAAGTAAGATATTCTATTGTTTCATTGATAGCTCGAGAAAACGCATGGAATTTGTGAAGAAAGACAATAAATTTGATTTGAAATCTCATACTTTTACGCTCACAACTAAGGAATGTTTTGCACACAAGTGAGGCTAACACAGAGCATTGGAGAATTCGAAACTGGATTATTGATGGATATTACGTGAGCATCTTTTCTTGTGTTAAACATCCAAATCACTGATCTAAGACAAACTCCCCAAATTTCATAATTATATAATCTGTTGTTGGTATTGAATCGTTGTTGTATGTATAGTATGCTCAAGGCTCGATCTGTGCTAGGACCCGACGTATTAGATGTAGCACTGACTGGGAAAGAACGGCATTTCCATGAAGCTCCAATGGAATAGCACATTTGGCGTGCGGAGCGTTGAAAATATAATGAAAATATTGCTGTGAAATAAGGACACAAAGGAAGACTTTTCCTGATTTCAGTAAGGAGTATGTTATATTGAGACCCACATGCCCAAGGTGTCCCTTAAGTGTTTTCCAAATAACTGTGACAGATTGATCTCAGTTGTAAGTTATTAGAGTTTCTTGTGCTGTCAACGTAGCTTAGACTTGGTTCTTTGTTGTGCCCTGGCGTGCAGAGGCTGTGACTGACAGCTGGGGCCAATAAATCTAATTACAGTTTGTAATACTGAATGAGAGAGTAAAGCCACTTCAGTTTGTGTACTAAAGGTAATAAACACCAACTGATATTTTAATTATCTTATGTGATTTTCACAGGGTTTGACGAATTAATGATAATAAGGACCTGTAGTCTCTCTGTTTAATCATCACAGCAACTTAGGGAGTTTTGTCTCTACCTGCATAGAGGGGGTCTCTTTGATCATGTCTGTACCGGATTTTTACTCGAAAAACATATCGGATAAGTTTAACCATGCGGTTTCTGGTCCCGGATATTTTGACCCGGCAAGTTGTAAATATCCCGTACCGGGACAATCTAGAATACGGATTTTGTGGATAAGTACTTTTCTACATGACTTATTTAATCTAGACATCTAATTTGTTCATGGCGTCGTGTTCATAAACGAGATATTCTCAGCTTTCCTAGGCCGCCTGAATAGAGAAATTTGGAACTAGCTAATCTCGTTGGGCGGCCCAGCATTTTGTCCTTTGGATATTTCTAATATTTTTAAAGCAAATTGCATATTATGTATAGTTTAAAACACGAGAGAGAGCCTTCAGCTCGAATCTTTATACCTGATAAAACACTCTCTCTCGTGTTTTAAACGGCTTCAAAAACTCCAACACTAATTTGAAACTCAAATCCGTTAAAATTCTTTGAGAAACTGACGTACAAATATGTTCTGAGATAAGTCAAGTAGGGCAAACTGATCATGCGCGAATCTTTTAACAAAGCACTCTTGTCATCCCACATTGAATACGAATAAAGTAGAATAGAGCCGGTCTTGGCTGTTCACTGCAATCGGTTGACAACCTGCATTGGTCAATGATCAGGTTTCAAACCTGAGACCTTYGCTAGTGTCATGGACCTTTATATCTGATAAAGGTCACCCTTATTAGTATTTTTTATATAACTGAGTGCTAAGTAGATTCTCCCTTTATCAGATATAAAGGTCCATGAATGTGACCCAATAGGCTCATTCTATTGGATTAATAACTCATTAATTATGTATGAGTTTTTGAAAGAGTATTTAATGCTTGCTTATAGCACCGCGTTAAATTGGGATTTCTTAGGGACCGCTATTCGCTTGTTAGGTGCTTCTATTCGCTTGTTAGGGACTGCTATACGCTTGTTAGTTAATACCATATTTGGAATACGTATGACAACCCCTACTCGGAGTAACTGGCACTTTCAAAAACCACAGGCTTCCCAAGCTTTGAGAAGGAACGGAAGAAATATAACTCGTAGATTTTATGAAAGTATCTACGAAAAAAAATATGGGGAATTTTGTCGTCAATTATTCTCTGTATTACTTCTGTATTTGTCTATTATTTGTATATTTTTGTTTTAATTGAGAATAAAAAAGGAGTATCGAAAGGAGTATTGTTTAAGTCTTGACGAGCAAGTCTTATGATTGTTGATTAAGACCTCATTTGGAAGTACTTATCAACCTATTTTTGGTATTTTTGCTCTTGGAATTAGTATTCTATTCTTTTTAATAAGCCTCAAATTTCAGGAGGAGCCGACGGGATCTGTTCTTCCAAATAACTGTTCTTATACGAATTTTCCCAAAATATTATAATTATTAGTTAATGTGTAAAATACAAGGATGTCCATGTTTAATCTATGAAAATCCATATAAATATTTTGGCAAATGAGAACCATTTGTGACCAGAAGGATTAAAATGTTGGCTTAGCATCTACCTAAACTTCGTCAAAAGCAATGAGAAAGAATCAGAATTTTTACATCGGACTGTGAACTAAAAATTGTACATTTTTAATTATTAAACACTCTAACTTTACATACAATAAAATTTTCTTTATTACACCAATAAGTATGTATGAACTCAGCAGTCATGTTTTCTTTCAAGACTCTAATGAAAAGCATCCAAAATCATTTCACTCTATAAAGCTGTCTAGATTAACTTTAATTAGTAAAGTTTATCAAAACTTGCAGGGTGACTGACATTTGCATAAAATTCATATCAATAGACAAACGGGTGGGCCTGATTCATTTATTGTTTTTAAAATAAAAAAAATTAACAATCGAAACTCAGCACGTATTTTCTATTAAAAAAAACATAAACAAAGTTATTGAGTGGCAGCCGCACTATTTTTTTCGTATTAACATACATTTAAAACTGATACAGTTGGAAAATTGGGAACTTGAATTGTATTAAATATTGACTACACTCAAACTTGCTCAATTCTGTCTTTGTCTAGGTGTACACCGCCGGGCAAGACAAATGCAGGCTCTGGGGAGTGACTATAAAATCACCTTCAAAACATGCGCAGTAGCCTTAAAGTATGATTATAATTGCTTCCACAAATTGGATGCTACCAATTTAGTTGAGAAAGCGACGTTAAACTCTCTCCATAAATATGCTGTTTTTACTTGTAGTGCTCTGTTTTGAGACATGTTCTGCATCGGTGAAGAGTGACAACCGTTTCAGGGATGCTGTGTTCATACCACACAAAGGTGAGAGTATAAGGCAAACATACGTAAGTTACTTCGTGATGGATTTCTTAATCTCAAAAATTATTTCAATTTGTAGAGATATTAGCTGACACCATGAAAGCACAATGAAACTAAGTCTTAATGTACAGAAATATTGATAATTTTAAATACCATTATACATATTATTAAGCATATAAAAATAGAGGATATTACATGGGCGCGTGGAGATACGGATTTTATCTTCGAGCATGTGTTAAAAAGAGTAAGTGGTAAAATGTAAGTAGATCCCATACTCAAGACACAAACCAAGAAGTGTTCCCGTGAAAAAAAGTCAGTATTATACGAACTCTCACTCGCTTATTCATACATAATCCTTGCGCAGTTTTGTGGACAAGGTGGGATTTAATAAAGAATTGCTTCGACTGCTAATGAGAAGCGGATGAAGTCCCAGCAATTCTATTGGCGGCTTAATTTGAGCTTTAAGATTACAAATAACAAATTTTGAAATAATGGTGAGTTCTACATCTCAGTCTTTCAGAAGCAAATAGATAAGAAATTAAGACGGGACCCGATGAATTCCTGGGAGAAACGTGTCTAAGTTCTTATATCCCAGCCAGCTGTAAGTAACAACTGGTTGGCAGCGAGAAATTTAGGGGAAAAAAACTCTCCAGGCAAAGGAATACTTTCTAAGAATTTTTGCCAAGATAATGAAAATTTCCTAATTATAAAAGATAAGCCGTTTTGGCCATAAAAAAGCGTTATATAAGTCTTTTTTGACATTAAAAACGTTTGCCAGGAATAATTTTTTTTTAAAGAAGGAAAGGCGCCACATTTGCTTGTGAGATTGTCAACGATGTAGCTCAAAATCCCTTTCCCAGGAAAAAAATTCTTACAAGAACAGTTATTTAGAAGAACAGAATCCGTTGGCTCCTCTTGAAGAAATGGGTTCAATTTTACCCAAAAAGTCACGCTTATATATTTTTCACTCTGTTTTACGGATGTAAGGTTTTGAAATTCTATCAAGTATATAAAGGAGAAATAATAAAAAATAGAACACAAGTAATACCTTACACTAATATGAATATTAACTATACTAGTAATACCTTCATTTCAAGAAAAAGATCCTCTCAAATTATTGATTATCAAAATACACCCAAAATAATTAAGTTATTTTTTATCTGTATATAAAATCACAATTTTCACTTTGATATTTCCTTATAGTTGTTGTGAAAGTTGCAATCGCGCGTACGTGTTTAAATTCAAACAGTAAGTTCCAATAATTTTCTATGCATATCGCCAAATAATAGACTATTGACATTTTTATTTTGAAAACTACATGATACGAATAAATATATTGTTGTTGTTTGTCTTGGCGTGCGTACTGGCCCACAAAACGTTCACAAAAAAGAAATGTTTTGCCCTTTCCATCGGCGCTTTTGCGAAAAAATACTCATTTAAAACTCAAGATGCATTTAATACTTAATTCCAAAAATATATACCTACTTGTAAAACGGTGTCATAGAAAATAGGACATTTGTATTTGATTAAAAGGAATAAATTAAAAAAGACAAAAGAAGATCACTGAGACTGAATGCTCTCTTTTTTTTAATTTATTCGGCTTTTTTATTAAATTCGAATGTTCTATTTTCTATGACAACGTTTCTACAAGTAGGTGTATATGAAAGTTTGAGAGTATGCCCTTTGCAGCTGGTGGTCACGTCACCAAACCTACCTTAAATCAATCAGCTATCAAAAAAATGATATTCAGAAATAGAAAGAGCAGGTTTATGTTGGTAAGTCTCAAGTCTCAACTCTAAATACTTCACAAATGACAGTAAATGTAAAATATTCATTTTTCTAAAGAAACGTATGGGAAAATAGAACTGGAGAACAAGCCTTGCTCTCCAGTTCTGCTTTTGCATATCATATGTTTCTTTAGAAAAAAAAAAACGATTTTTGATTTGTTATCCATTTTGAATCGTTTGAATCTCTTCTTACTTATTTTAAACCCCTCTTTCCATCTCTGAATATCATTTTGTCATTGCTGATTGATTTAAGGTAGGTGTGGTCACGTGACCACCAGCTGCAAAGGGCCTATTTAGCACCAAAAGAGCACGGTTGCATTTGCATATTACATGCTACGTTCCTTCAATGGTTACTTGCACAATCCATGTATTTTTGGAAGGGCTTGGAAGGTTTTTCTTCGCTTTTTATAATTTTGAAAAGGCCTTATAGGTTCACTTGAAATTCATTGGAAATTTATATGTTTCGTTCTTAATTATTTCTATAATTGAATTTTAAATAATAAACTAATGAATAGATAATAAGCAAGAAGTTTGTACATCGAAAATAAACTGTTATCCTAATGATGCTGGATTTCGTAGAAGTTTCACACTGTTATATATAGTTGATATAACTCCTAAAGAGTTATATCAACTATAAAACAAGTTAAAACAAGTTAAAACAAGTTAAAACAAGTTAAAACAAGTTAAAACAAGGTACAAGATAACAGAGCAGATTTAATTCCACCATTTTTAACTGCACCTGGGCGATTTATGTTGACTCCTCTTAAGTCAAACAGCAATATTTTTTACTTTTTTTCGAGAAGTGATTTTAACCTCTGGAGAAAAAACTACTCGCATTTTACAATAGAGTTTATTCTCTTCAATTAAATTTGCTCCATTGATGGAGATATTTCAACTCCTTGAAAAGGACTTTTATTATTTTTCTATAACTTTTTTTTTGAACCGTTTTTGTTTGAAAATCGCTAGTACTTTCAGGCTAATTGACTGAGTTCTTTTTAGTCTTTTTATTACGAATGTATGTACTATAATTTTGTCGCTATTCGAAAATACGAAAACAAATTTATGTGGACATCCATACTTCTTTATCATGAGAGAACGCTTAAATAGTCTTCTTAAGGGTTCCCTGCGCCATCTTGAAAGGTAGCCATGCCTTTGCATCGAAGCGTGCCAACCGTTGAGCGTGCAATGATAGAAACCTTCTTTCACACCTACAGACAATTATTCACAGGTATCTATCATTGCACGCTAAACGGTTGTCTCGCTTCGATGCAAAGGCACGGCTACCTTTCAAGATGGCGAAGGTAACCGTGAAGGAGACTATTGTCTTTACCCAAGTTCATTCAGTAGAGTGGTTTTCATTAASCCGTGAAACACACAGCGTATGTCTCTACGCGACTATTACGATCTATTACACTCTAATTATTACACTTTGGTTTCACGGGTTTTGAAAACCACTCTAAATCATCATTACAAGATAATAAACTGAAACATATGATAGACATCCTAAATTAAGAGTATGATTTACCTTACTAATAGTCTCCTTGACTGTTACCTTCGCCATCTTGAAAGGTAGCCGTGCCTTCACATCGAAGCGAGACAACCATTGAGCGTGCAATGTTAGAAACCTGTAAATAATTGTCTGTAGGTGTGAAAGAAGGTTTCTATCGTTGCACGCTCAACAGTCGTCTCGCTTCGATGCAAAGGCCGCCTATCTAGATGACGCAGGGAACCGTGAAGAAGACTATTACCTACAATGAGGTAGCCTATGTAGCAAGCATTATACATGTCCAGTTTCTATATTTCCTACCAGAATCTTCAATATTCAACTTTCAAAACACTATTTTTGAGAAACTGTTGATTATTTTAGGGATGGCTCTAATGAATCACGTGATATCCTCACACCACGTGACGTCACCAATTGATTGCAGCTTCTTCTGTTCATCACATGACAAGTGTAAATCCTACAATTACAAACCGAGAGGGGCTGGTGACAGCGACATCTGTCAATTGAATAACGCTACAAGACGAACCAACTCAGCATCGTATAAACCTGATGCTGGCTTCGTTCATTATTTCGACCAATCAGAGGTATATGACGAAAAGTAATCTAAATTTGAATCCAATTCACATGATTGCGTCATTAGGTGTATTGTGTCATCAAACTAGAGTCATTTTCATCCGTCTGTGAAACAATTACTAACTAGTCAGTGTTTAATAGGTAACTATAAGGGTGTAGTAGGCTACCAAAAGGCAAAATCAAACCGTGTTTGCTTAATTAGGTTGTCGCATGTCATAAGTAAGCTATTGGGAGCTAATAGGGGGTAATAGTACTTAATAGTACAATTCCTATTTCACAGATGAAAGCAAATGACTCTATATTAACAAATGATACTACTATGATTTCTAACTTCTAATTATAAGATATATACATTCCTTTCTTTCAGTCTTTTAAGTCTTGCCTCGACCACTTTCGTAACGGAGCCAAAGAGAATGGTATTTACACCATCACAGACATCAGCGGAGATTCCTACCCAGTCTTCTGTGATCTCACCTCAGAGCCTCGCTTTGCGTGGACCCTGATCCTATCCCAAGCTTTCAGGAACCGAAATCTAGCGGCGTTTTGCTCTAAGCCTCTTCCACAAAACTATCCACTTAATGCAGATAGCCCAAACTGGGAAGCCTACCGACTCTCGCTTGGTCGAATGCAACGTTTATCGCAACAATCTACTCATGTCAGAGTCACCACAAGTTTTCCTGAGTACAACGTGGAATTCCGAGATTACTTTCGAACAAAATTGTCACACTTTGATATTTTAAGCTTTTATGGTAGCAAATCTTGCTTCTTCATGGAAATCATTGATGTCCGAAATCATAAGGGCTTTAATGTCACGGTCGGATTTTGGCAACTTGAAGCGGAATTTCTCCATACCGATACAGAACACAAAACCTGCCAGTTTGATGCCTCGCGAGGTTCACTTGGGAGCGAGAATAACTTTGGCTCTTATTGTCAAGCAAACTGTGTTAATCCAGTTTTTCGCGGATGTGAGAAAGATGACAGCACAACAAACTATTGGTTTGGGGGCTACATGTGAGCAGAAAAGAACGAATTCTCAGTTCTTTATTTTATGATTCTTTACAGTCAAAAGACATGAAGCGCGGCACCCAAATAGTTTGTTATTCAATGCATTATTGTTTTTTTTTTTCATTATATTTTTCGTTTTCAAACTTCAGTTGATTAATGCAAAATTAAATTCAACGCTGTGTCTATATGGCCGGTTACCGGTTAAGGTCTTGAAAATGCTAAATGGCCGGCAGCCCATAAAATGTGTTTTTTCCCTCTCTTATTATCTAAACGAGCTTCCAAACTCCAAAATAAAACTCTATGACTAAAATGAGCGTGTTAAAACTTACATAAACGTCGCGCCGAATTTCGTTGGACTTAGAGACTTGAACCGACTGCCGGCCACGCAACAACGAAATCCTAAATGGCCGGCAGCCCATAAAATAACAGATTGCTCTTTTATTATTCTTATTTAAAGAGTTAAAACAACATAATCAACATTTCTGAAACTTTCATGGTACTGTAGAGGCATTTTTCTTTCGAGAAAAATCTCAACCAACACGGCGGACTGCCGGTAACACAACATCAAAATCCTAAATGACCGGCAGCTCACAAAATAACAGATTTGTCTTTTCTATTTCTATTTAAAAAGTTAAAACAACATAATCGACATTTCTGAAACTTTCATGGTACTGTAGAGACATTTCTCTATTCGAGAAAAATCTCAACCAACTGACGGCGGACTGCCGGTCACGCAATGTCGAAATCCTAAATGACCGGCAGCTCATAAATAACAGATTTTTCTTTCCATGCATCTTTTATTATTCAAATTTAAGAGTTAAAGGATTACTGGCAGTTCCAACTGTAAGTACATTNTATGATGATAATGTTGTATGATGATAATGTTGTATGATGATAATGTTGTATGATGATAATGTTGTATGATGATAATGTTGTATGATGATAATGTTGTATGATGATAATGTTGTATGATGAAAATGTTGTATGATTCATCATACAACATTATCCTACAAGATCATACAAAATTATCAGCATACAACATTATTACCATACAACCATTATCATATCATACAACATTTTCATCATACAACATTTTCATAATACTACATTATCATCATAAAACGTTATCATCATACAACATTTGAGTCATCATACTACATTATCATCATACAACATTTTCATCAAACAAAATTTTCATCATCTTACAACATTGTCATCATACAACATTTGAGTCACATACAACATTATCATCATACAACATTATCATCATACAACATTATTATCATATAACATTATCATCATACAACATTATCATCATACATCAATGCTATAGTTCTCCTATCTCTCTTATTTCATCAGGATAATGATTCCACTGCATATGACAGATATGAGCTGTCTCCCACACAGCATAACCCTCTGAACATGAACTGTAATCCTAGTAAAGAATGCAGATGTTTCTCGGATATAGTAATGTACTGACACTGGCAATAATCTCTTAAGTTTGAATAATGAAAGATGCATGAAAAGAGAAATTTGTTATTTTATAGACTTCCGGCCATTTAGGATTTTGATGTTGCGTGACCGGCAGTCCGCCATCAGTTGCAGTGAGATTTTTCTCGAATAGAAAAATGTCTGTACAGTACCATGAAAGTTTCAGAAATGTTGATTATATTGTTTTAACTCTTTAAATAAGAATAATAAAAGAGAAATCTGTTATTTTATGAGCTGCCGGTCATTTAGGATTTTGATATTGTGTGACCGGCAGTCCGCCGTGTTGGTTGAGATTTTTCTCGAATAGAAAAATGTCTCTACAGTACCATGAAAGTTTCAGAAATGTTGATTATGTTGTTTTAACTCTTTAAATAAGAATATTAAAAGAGAAATCTGTTATTTTATGGGCTGCGGCCATTTAGGATTTCGTTGTTGCGTGGCCTGCGAGTCGGTTCAAGTTCGTACAATGTCTCTAAGTGCAACGAATTTCGGCGCGACGTGTATGTAAGTTTTAACACACTCATTTTACTCGTAGAGTTTTATTTTGGAGTTTGGAAGCTCGTTTAGATAATAAGAGAGGGAAAAAACACATTTTATGGACTGCCGGCCATTTAGCATTTTCAAGACCCTTGACCGGTAACCGGCCATATAGACACAGCGTAAATTCAAATCTCGAACTCTGATAATGACAGAAAGCAGAACAGCATTTCTAGCTTTTTGAGACCGTCATTCCTTTCTCACGAGAAGGAACAGATTCAACCAAATTAACAGACAGCATATTGCAATGCATCGGATATTCCAAAAAAACAGCGTGTTTACAAGCGAAATACGAAGAAGGCTTTATGAAAATCCGATATCAATAATCCAATCAAATTTTGAAGTTTGAATTCAAATTTGATTTCAATAATGTAATGTTGAATCGACCAAGAATCTAATAATGAATTAAATAATGGTGTTTTTGAGGGGGCGCGCTTCATGTCTTTTGACTGTAACTAGATGCACTTATACAATACAAAACTAGGCATTTCTTCCAAGAGCGCTCGAAGAGATTGTCATGACAGAACTCAAGGGCGGATTTTCCTCAGGGAGGCGTGCAGGAGGAGGCCGGGATGCACACCGCAAAAATCATTACCATGAACATACAAAATAAGGAAAGTATGGAAGGATACAGATCTCAGGGGGGGTTGCGCACCCCTTGCACCCACCAGCAGGATCGGCACCTGGAACTATATGCAGCACCGCATATGAACCAAGATAACCCCATGACCAAGAGCAGATAAGCAGATTCCAGGACCCTCAAAGGTCCCTGACGCGAATGTATTCCTAAGCACGATCTGCAGCGCTCCTCAACCTGAATGACGGGCAAGATCCAATAAACATATCCCAAAACCCTAAGAGGTCCTGGACCCGAATTTATCAGCCCAGGTATCCGCCGAGCTTTCATATTCTACAACTTCACCGACAAAATCCTGGACTGGAATTTATTCTGATATACGTACTATGGCTGTAAAGTACGAATCCTGATGATCCCAGGAATTGATAGAGAGCTGATATCTTGTCCGAAATGATTCTGAACTTTTCAAACGACTCAAACTAATAGCCGATTTACGAATTTCGCCTCAGTAATCAAACACAAAAGAATAAAGACAAGACGCCATGCGTAAAGCTCAGTGAAAAACTAATTTCTTTTTACGAATGACTGAGCTTTATGCACGGTATTGATCGTCTTGATTTCTCTGTGTGTGACTATTGAAGCGAAATTCGCAAATCGGCTATTCCAGGTACTTTGCAGGAATAGTGCGGCTAGGTGACCATTCTTGATTGGAGTCAATGCCACTATTAGGCCCTGTTAACACGAGATAGGGTGTCCCTACGTGGAAGGTCCTACTAACTCTTTCGTTTTCTTTTCCCTGGAGGATTTATAACAAAGGATTTTGGCCCTACCATTAGGGGCACCCTATCTCATGTCAACAATGCCTATAAGGTATCAGAAGTCTAGCAGAATACTATTTCATGGCATATGCAATTTATATGTAGATTTTTACCACAATTCTACAATTGGTATTTATCAACTCGATGAACAACAATTTTGACAATTCAATGACGCCAACCGTGGTAAAAGAGGACATACCACGAGAATGTATCATAAATTTGTTAAAAAGCTTGTACGCTGCATACTAATGGTTGATAGTACAGCACAAGAATATGGAATTAATATCATTGATTGATTGAATCAAATTCCTATGTACGACAGAATATCCTATAATTGTTACAATGCAACATTCGACGTTTTTGGCGGCCATCTTGGACGAGTAGGCATAGTGTCGCAAAATAACAAGGATGGACGGGATATCGATGTCAAATAATTCTCGCTGAATTCCAATTCGGAACGAATTATCAATTGCAAACGTTAGATACTACAAAAAAGAGTTAACTGTCCAAATTTGAAGGATATGTATTTTATCTAGGGAGTGAGTAATATAAATTTATTTTTAGTTCACCATAAATTTCCTTGGTATTTTCACGCGGCAGTTCCCTTTTTTTTGCAGCATCTAACGTTTGCAATATTGATAATTCTTTCCGAATTCAGCGAGAACTATTTGACATCGATTTCCCGTTCAATCCTCGTTATTTTGCGACACTATGCCTACACCACAACAGGGTTGCCAAAACCGTTATCTCAACTATCCCTTTAATTAAGCTCTATTAGAAATTAAAATTTTGATATTGATTACAAGCTTTTCCGTTTGTTATTTGAATTAGCAAATCATGTGGCTTGAAATTACAGCGTGTCCCAGAGCCTTTGAATTTCGTTCGGAAGCCCAAAAGGATCTGGGTACGACAATGGTCCCAGCCTCCTACCATAGGGCGCGATACGATAGGGTCTTATCAGCACCGAAGGGGAATGGGCTGGTGGAAACCAAACTCCCTCGAGACGTCTAAGAAGGTCTGGATGCGCAGTCTACGACGTCTTTTAACTGTTTTATTAACTTTTTATTTTGCATGAATATCCTTTGCAATATAGAACAATGGTGCATTGATCTAGCCGAAAGCTGAGAGGTGCAAATGCAATTTCAGAGTAAAAGAAATCATTTCAAAGGATTGGACAGGTCACAACATTAGTAAGAGAACC